AATCAACCAAAAGATAAACAGATTTAATAAAAAAGATCAATATTATGATAGAAAGAGAAACAAACATAGATCTAAATAATAATAGAACTTTTAATCAGTGTTTTTGGACCCGGCCCGGCCTGATCGGTTGAACCAGTTGAACCGGACCCGAGCTTAAAAACGGACCGAGCCAATACCTTAACCCGTTTTACAAGTTCACCTGTTTTGACCCGCTGGTGCCCGCTCAACCCGCTGAAACCGCCTAACCCGTCTAACCCGCCGAGCTAAATGAATTTGAGTTTTTACTTTTTAATGAGTTAATACTAATTAAATTAATTTATTTAATTTTTAACATAATTAGTTAATTACCCACACCATTAACTTTAATTAAAAATTAAAATCGCAACACATTGCAAAAGCAAACCCAAGAGAAATTAAAAACAAAAGAAAGCAGGGGAAGAACAGCACCACCGGACCACCACCAGTACCACGCACCAGTTACCACCGCCGGCCTTTACCTACCCGATCTCAGCCAAAAATCGCGAACCTGCTGCTCGCTCGTGGCCTCCGTCTGCGGCTTTCGGTCCTTTGTCTCTGCAGAAGAAAAACCAGAAAGCAAGTCTTTCATCTCTGTGCAGAAAAGCCAAAAAGCAGAAAGAAAACAGAGCAGCGAAGCCACCGACGACCAACTGCCTCCCCAATCTCAGCCATCGACGACTCCACAACTGCCTTCTCGGATCTCAACCAGAAATCAGGAACCTGCTGCTCGCTCGTGGCCTCCGTCTGCGGCTTCCAGTCCTTTGTTTCTGCAAAAGCAAAACCAGAACGCACGCCCTTCATCTCTGTGCAGAAGCAACCAGAAAGTAAATCGAAAACAGAGCAGCGAAGTCACCAGCGGCCAACTACCTCCCCGGATCTCAGCCTTTCACTGCTGCCTTTCCTCCCCTTCTTCCATTGACAGAACAGATTTTCATTTGCATTTGCCTTTGCCTCGGGTGTAAAAATGTAAAAAAAAAAAAAAAGGTTTTTAGTCAACCGGTTGAACCGATCGGGTGAATTGGTTCAACCGGTTGAACCAGACCCGGTGGCCAAAACGGGTCAACCACCGGGCCGGGTACAAAAACATTGCTTTTAATAATGAATATCAAGTATCATTTAACAAAAAAAATGACAAACCTTATCAAAATTGAAAAGAAATTGATTAAAACTCCATAAATTGAACCACAGCATGAATTAACGAAACAAAAACATACTCTCCAAGTTCTTTAACCACAAGCAAATAAAGGAAATTTCCAACCAATGACAAGCGATTCATTAGTTTATACGACTTAATAAAAAAAAAAATTAACACTACCTTTTAATTCACAAAAAAAAAAAAAAGAATTTTATTAAAGAGATATAAAAAAACCTCAACCTATTACATTTAATTTAAATATAAAGAATAATTTATACACTTAAGTCTAACACAATTATA